ACATAAAGTATAAAAAACCTTAACCAACTAAAACAATAAATAGAACAATAGCGATAACTATATTTGCATCCAGACCAAGAATGGTCTATATAGCGAAAACTACAATGGTAACTATTACGATAACTATATTGACTATAATAACACGTATATTTGCGTACAGACTAAGAATGGATAACTATAACGGTAACTATAATGATAATTACAGTTGTCACAGTGTCTGGTTTGTATTCCCTGGCTTCCACTAGAGGTCCTCCTCCACCACGGCGTCCTTCTCTCAGACTACATTTCCAATCATCCTATGTTGTCTATAACAGAAACCATACCGAAAACGATTTTGACAACTATATTTGGGTACCGACCAAGGATGATTTGATGTCTATAATGGTAACCATAGCGATAACTATATTTGCGTACAGACCAAGAACGATCACTTACTGACAAAGCTTTGACCTCCCGCCTCCACTGACCGCTGTGTGTTGTGTGTGAAAGCATCGATTGTGAATCTGTAATGGACCAGTCTGGCACTCGGACACTGGGATCTGGAGAGCTGAGCTCTGGTTCCAGCAAGGGATTATGGGTGTTTGAGTCCGTACCTCTCACAGGATTACCGGCTCCAAACTCTTTCTCTTTTCCTCACTCGTCGTTCCTCTCATCTTTTCACTCCTGTCTTTCTGCACATATTCACTAAACCCTGGATTTATGGAGTGCCGAGAAGAGAAACATATTCCCCACCTCCATGGCTGATTAATGTTCGTTTCCGCCCACGTCAGCGTTCATCGTGAAAACAGACGTTCAGTGACCAGAAGAGAACAAGCTGGCTAAACAAACTGATCATGTGACAACATCTTCATCCCTGCTGGTCTTAAACACCCACTACTAACCTCACTGCAGGTCTTACACACACACTATTCGCGCCGGAGGAACCTTCTCATAGTTCCTGTTGGCGTGTTTGTTCGATGTTAGTTCTATGAACTCCTTTTGGAGGAACTACCTCCATAGTCAGTCTAAACCAGCGCTATAGGAACTACAGTGACGTTAGTGTTCGCTGATTGGCCCAAAATGAAAGTAAAGACAGCAACCCCTCATGGACGACTGCTGTCACATATAGCAAAACACAAATAAAATCCAGGCCTGGTCCTCTCTCACCCTTCACTGTCGTCGCTCCTCCTTTATGCTTCCGATCCTCCGTGAGAGATACGAGACTGGTGTGTCGCGCAGGTGTCACTCATTATCAATCACGCCACCGGCCTCGTCCTGCTCGCCACAGAATGCAACCAGGAAAAAGTTCCTAGAGGAACCATTAGTCCTCGGGAACCACCCTGGTGGCCAGTACCTAGAACTACCCGGTGTGAAAGCCCCTTCTTAGAGGTTACTGATTTCTCTTGTGTTTCTCTGTGGCAGAGCGCCGGCTGCGACGGCCTGTTGGGTTCTGGGAAGGTTCCTGATAAATGTGGCGTGTGTGGAGGGGATAACAGCGCATGTAAGCTTGTCTCGGGCCTGTTTCAACACAGCCTGGCCAAAGTGGGCTATCACAAGATCGTGGAGATCCCACCGGGAGCCACCAAAATAAACGTCACGGAGATGGTGAAGAGCAGGAACTATCTGGGTGAGTTAAGGTCCATTCACTACAAGAACGATAACTATAAAGATTGCTAAAACTATAATAACTATAGCGAAAACTATAACTGTAACTTAAATTGCAATGATCTCTATAACGAAAACTATAACGATACCTAAAACTGTAACGAAAACTTTAATAACTATAACGAAAACTATAATAACTATAATGAAAATTATAGCGGTAACTAAAACTGTAACGAAAACTTTAACTATAACGAAAATTATAGCGATAACACAAAATGTAACGAAAACTATAGCGATACCTAAAACTGTAACGAAAACTTTAATAACTGTAACGAAAACTATAATAACTATAACAAAAATTATAGCGATAACACAAAATGTAACGAAAACTATAATAACTATAGCGAAAACTATAACGGTAACTTAAACTATAATGATCACTATAACGAAAACTATACCGATGCCTAAAACTGTAATGAAAACTATAATAACTATAACGAAATCTTTAATAACTATAATGAAAATTATAGCGGTAACTAAAACTGTAACGAAAACTGTCATAACTGTAACGAAAACTATAACTATAATGAAAATTATAGCGATAACGAAAACTATAATAACTGTAACTATAACTATAATGAAAAATATAGCGAAAACTAAAACTGTAACGAAAACTATATGAAAATTATAGCGATAACGAAAACTATAATAACTGTAACTATAACTATAATGAAAAATATAGCGAAAACTAAAACTGTAACGAAAACTATAAAAACTATAACGAAAACTGTAATAACTATAATGAAAATTATAGCGATAATTAATACTGTAATGGAAACTATAATGATAACTATAAATGAAACCATAGCGGTTACGGTAACTGTAACAAAAACTTGCAATTACGATAACTATAATAACTAACAATAACTATAGTGATAACTGATAACTTTAACGAAAAATATACTGATAACTATAACTAATACTACAACTATAAAAAACTATAATGATCACTATAACGAAAACTATAGCGATACCTAAAACTGTAACGAAAACTATAATAACTATAACAAAAATTATAGCGATAACACAAAATGTAACGAAAACTATAACGGTAACTTAAACTATAATGATCACTACAACGAAAACTATAGCGATGCCTAAAACTGTAATGAAAACTATAATAACTATAACGAAAACTATAATAACTATAATGAAAATTATAGCGGTAACTAAAACTGTAACGAAAACTATAACTATAATGAAAATTATAGCGATAACAAAAACTATAATAACTGTAACTATAATGAAAAATATAGCAAAAACTAAAACTGTAACGAAAACTACAAAAACTATAACGAAAACTGTAATAACTATAATGAAAATTATAGTGATAACTAAAACTGTAATGGAAACTATAATGATAACTATAAATGAAACCATAGCGGTTACTATAACGATAGCTATAACAGCTATACTTATAACTATAACTGTTTCTAAAACTGTAACAAAAACTTGCAATTACGATAACTATAATAACTAACAATAACTATAGTGATAACTGATAACTTTAACGAAAAATATACTGATAACTATAACTAATACTACAACTATAAAAAAACTATAATGATCACTATAACGAAAACTATAGCGATACCTAAAACTGTAACGAAAACTATAATAACTATAACGAAAACTATAATAACTATAATGAAAATTATAGCGGTAACTAAAACTGTAACGAAAACTATAACTATAATGAAAATTATAGCGATAACAAAAACTATAATAACTGTAACTATAATGAAAAATATAGCGAAAACTAAAACTGTAACGAAAACTACAAAAACTATAACGAAAACTGTAATAACTATAATGAAAATTATAGTGATAACTAAAACTGTAATGGAAACTTTAATGATAACTATAAATGAAACCATAGCGGTTACTATAACGATAGCTATAACAGCTATACTTATAACTATAACTGTTTCTAAAACTGTAACAAAAACTTGCAATTACGATAACTATAATAACTAACAATAACTATAGTGATAACTGATAACTTTAACGAAAAATATACTGATAACTATAACTAATACTACAACTATAAAAAAATATAATGATCACTATAACGAAAACTATAGCGATACCTAAAACTGTAACGAAAACTATAATAACTATAACGAAAACTATAATAACTATAATGAAAATTATAGCGGTAACTAAAACTGTAACGAAAACTATAACTATAATGAAAATTATAGCGATAACAAAAACTATAATAACTGTAACTATAATGAAAAATATAGCGAAAACTAAAACTGTAACGAAAACTACAAAAACTATAACGAAAACTGTAATAACTATAATGAAAATTATAGTGATAACTAAAACTGTAATGGAAACTTTAATGATAACTATAAATGAAACCATAGCGGTTACTATAACGATAGTTATAACAGCTATACTTATAACTATAACTGTTTCTAAAACTGTAACAAAAACTTGCAATTACGATAACTATAATAACTAACAATAACTATAGTGATAACTGATAACTTAACTAAAACTACAACTATAAAAAACTATAATGATAACTATAACAGAAACTATAGCAATTACGATAATTTGTTTAATTACGCATTCTGAAGCTGTTTTAGGAGAGTTCAAACCCCTGCTGGTAAAACACATCAGATCTGTTAAATTACAGCCCAGCTCAGACTCTGGAGAACTATATAACGTGTATTTCAGTCTCTCGCGTCGTTAAAGTCCCAGACAGTGGGGCAGACTGACGCTGAGAGCGACACAAACACACTCTCCATCATCCCATCTGTGATGGTTTCTCTGCTGGTTTCCAGTAGCTGAACATCTTCCGTGTCAGGACCAGGTGTTTATAACTAATGACGGAAGTAAATTTATCTGGACAATAACTTTATTGTAGATCTGCTGTAAAACCCAAACGCTCTCTGTGACTGTAATCTCCTGTGATCTCCGTAAAGCTGCGGTGAAACTCGACTGTTACAGCGCTGGATAGATGAAGGAGACTCGACTTGACAAACTCACTGGAGGATGGAAAATTCTGGCCGTTTTTCCCTCTCCTGATTTATGAGCCACAGGATTCAATAAACTTCCCACACCAAGAGCAAAGATGAGCCGGGCGATGGCCTCAGGGTGTGTGTGTGTGTGTGTGTGTGTGACCTGAGTGCAGTACAGGCTCATCAGGCTGAGTTCACTGATCGTGTGTTACATGTGTTCATCAGCGAGGGGTTTGAGTTTTATGTGCATGTCAGCGTGTGTTAGACGCACCGAATCCTCTGTCAGCAACAATTACTCTGACCAGCTACTGTGTGTGTGTGTGTGTGTGTGTGTGTGTGTGCAGCTCTACTCAGTCGGTCTGGCCGATCCATTATTAATGGAAACTGGGCCATCGACCGTCCAGGAATGTACGCGGGAGTTGGAACGATGTTCATGTACCGGCGGCCCAATGAGATCAGCAGCAGAAGCGGAGAGTCGCTACTGGCCGACGGCCCGACCAATGAGATCCTGGACGTGTATGTGAGTGACACTTCAACACCTCAGATCCCCATTCTTCAAACACAATTGCAATATAAAATACTGCATTATTAATGTAATCTTTACTATTTATATAATTATGTAATATAGTTCATAATTATTATTATTATTGGGGCATACGTGTGTGTGTGTGTGTGTGTGTGTGTATATATATATTCATTTAGCTATTGTAACTTGAATTATTTAAATAAATTACATTTATAAATGATTATAATATTGATACAGAAATTATAATCCGAAACTGAAGGCTTGCTGGAGTGAGTCTGACACGAAGATGAAGCCGCCAGTACTGTCAGGTTCACTTTATTAGATGGTCGCTTTAACACACTCTGTTGCTCCTTCATGTCTATGACTCTCGTTAGAGCGTCTCATTAGTGGACTGCTAGGTTTGAAACATTGGATCACGAAGAACGGGACCTTTAATGTATAGAAACAACATTCAAAACAATCGGAATCCATATTAAAGAAAAATAAATAACTGGTCCCTCTTTCTCTCTCTTTGTTATTGGCATGTTATAACCAGCATGAACTATCTCACTAGTTATGTTTTTTGCATAACTAGCATGAGCATGCACACACAATGGCTTGGCCCCTCCCTCAAGCCACCCCTCGTGTATGATTGACAGGCGCCTTAAGGCCTATATAATATTTTTGTTCTTTGAATTAGTCAATCATTTTAAATAATTTATTATTTCATTACATTTCATTTCTATAGTCCATATTTTTAAAAATAGAGTTGGCTCGTCAGGTATCCCTTCGTTCACCCTCAAGAGCCGGCTCCACCTCCCGTCTCCTATTTGACGCTGTTGTAGAGTTAATTTACATGTTTAACCCTCGGGTGCTCTTCGTTTCAGAGTCACACTTGTTATCTTCCTGGTCAAAAGTGACCGGACACCTAAAAATGAAACTTTCTCCATCCCAGTAAAACCAATGCAATTTATTTTTGTTCTATAATATTTATTCTTTTTAATTTACTATTTTGAGACAATTTAATTGAATTTATTAATATTTATGCAATATTTATGGTTTATTTTTGTCATGGAAATATATATTTTTTTCTATATATGTATATTATTTTTTTCAAAAAAATATTAATGCAGTATTTTAGTTTAATGTAGAGTCTAGGCCTTCAGAAAAAAATATTTTTTGAAGAAAACTAGCACCATCTGGTTACAGTATAGAGAAAAAGCGTAGAATCATGGTGTAACCACTAGATGGCATGTACAGCTCTCTATGGAGAGGAGTGAATTCCCCAGCTGTTTATGAACACACATTTTTTGTTGTTGTTGTTGTTGGTAGTTGGAACAATCTCAAAAACTATTTCTTATTAAAAAAAATGACAAACTAATATTCACAATTTTTTTTATTTTATTTTATTTTTTTTACATTTTTCCATTCATTTCCTATGGGTCGTCATTTTTGACAGAAGAGCAAAAGTGTGACTCATTTTTTTACGACCACTTAAATTGCGCGAATCATGACCTCAATTTTTTTGTGTTTTCACATACCCAATGCCATAACAGTCACCAAGTTTCGTAATTTTCTGAAGAAGCTGTGATTTTTAAAATTTCAAAACAGAAAATTTTCCAGTCAGAAATGACCGAAGAGCACCAGAGGGTTAAAGGGGACCATCAAAATAAAGTGTTAGCGCAGTTTCTCCTCATCCCTGATGTGTGCTTCTGCTCAGATGATCTACCAGCAACCCAATCCAGGCGTCCATTACGAATTCCTGATGCCGTCCGAGAGCGCAGTCGATGCCCAGCGCCCGGAGGAGAACCGGCTGCACGGTGAGTCCATCCACACGCCTTTTATTCCTCTATTGTGTGAAAATGACAGCATTCGGTTCACTGGATCTTGCGTTGCTCCTCAGTAAATGTTGTGAACGGTCAGACGGGTTCTGATGCCAACGGCCAGTCGACCCTGGAGGGTCACGAGGGGTCAGGGGTCAAGTATCCTCCACCCATCCCGGATAATCAGCTTCCCGAAGCTCCGCCTCCAAAGCGAGTCCGGGAGTATAACTGGAAGCTCAGCGGCTTCAGCGACTGCAGCGCCTCTTGTGGCAGAGGTCAGAAACACACTCGACGGGTTCATTACGCGCCGCAAAACATATTTGTGTCTGGTTTCCAATCCAAATATCAAAAAATTCTTAAATCAAGATGCATTTACTAGATGAGTACAGGGTTTCAGGGGGAATTAATCAATTGAGTTGTTTCTTAAAACAAGCAAAATGATCTGCCAATGCGGTCAGAAAAATAATGTTAATTCAAACAGAAACGAGATTATTTTTCTGACCGCATTGGCAGATCATTTTGCTTGTTTTAAGAAACAACACTTACTTTTGATTAATTTCCCTGGAAACCAGGACATACTATCTTATGTTACTGTACTCATCTAGTAAATGTATCTTGATTAAAGAATTTTTTGATGTTTGGATATATGATATTTTTATAATGATAGCAATGTTTACATCTGTTGTGGTATTTATGCAAATTAGCACATACATTATTAGATTATGCAACCATTTGCCCATGTTAACAAAATTAAAAAAAAAAATTTGTTATACATTTTTTTTTGTTTGTCTTGATATAATTAATCAACAGTAATTTTGATGATGATATCTAAAGGTGACCATTTTTACCCTATTCACATGAGAAATTCTCATGTTTAGCACATGTAAGTTTTCTGTCATCTTTGCAGGACTGTGATATGAAGAGTAACATATTTTAGCACATTACAGGCACTACACCGGTATAAACATGAATATCTATTGGTACATTATGCGTCACATGACTCAAGTTACTAAACGTTTTGAGAGTCCACACTACAACACGGAAACAGCGTTTTCAAGGTTATCCACTTTGGAGAGCGTTTTCAAAAGGCAAATTATCATTAATAAAACCTCAGCAACTCCTGCATGTGTTCCTGGTTTGCAGGCAGCAGGTTCTCCGTGTTCGTCTGCGTTCATCGGGTCACTCACACACACGTGCCGATCGGTCTGTGTGACGGCAGCACCAGACCCAGCGCTCAGGAGGAGCCGTGCAACGTCCAGCCCTGTCCCGCTTTGTGAGTGTCTTCTTCTTCTTCTAGGGTTCGAGAGATCCAAAAGAGTTGATTATCTGGGCCGGATTTGAAGAAGCTTGCAGTAAAGGATGTGTTTGGCCTATACTGACACCCAGTGGTGGAAAGCCAGCATTGAGGCTAGTCTAGCCATACTGATGTGTGTAGTGTTGTGACCGATTCAGAGCTGTAATATGATGATATATAACCAGGATACGAGTGGTCCTCTGCATGTAGATATAGAGACAGTACTAGAACAATACTAGGTTTTGTTTGATTTAGAGATGTAAATATCTAGAAATTTAATCAAACAAAACTAACAATATTTAAATCTCTAAATCAAACAAAACCAACAATAATTAAATCTCTAAATCGAACAAAAACAACGATATTTAAATATCTAGATTTAAATGTTGTTGGTTTTGTTTGATTATAAATTTAAATATTGTTGTTTTTTTATTATAGATTTAAATATTGTCAGGTTTGTTCGATTTAGAGATTTAAATATTGTTGGTTTTGTTCGATTTAGAGATTTAAATATTGTTAGTTTTGTTCGATTTAGAGATTTAAATATTGTTGGTTTTGTTTGATTTAGAGATTTAAATAAGGTTGGTTTTGTTTAATTATAAATTTAAATATTGTTGTTTTTGATTATAGTTTTAAATATCGTTGGTTTTGTTCGATTTAGAGATTTAGATATTGTTGGTTTTGTTTGATTTAGAGATTTAAATATTGTTGGTTTTGTTCGATTTAGAGATTTAAATATTGTTAGTTTTGTTCGATTTAGAGATTTAAATATTGTTGGTTTTGTTCGATTTAGAGATTTAAATATTGTTGGTTTTGTTCGATTTAGAGATTTAAATATTGTTGGTTTTGTTCGATTTAGAGATTTAAATATTGTTGGTTTTGTTTGATTTAGAGATTTAAATAAGGTTGGTTTTGTTTAATTATAAATTTAAATATTGTTGTTTTTGATTATAGATTTAAATATCGTTGGTTTTGTTCGATTTAGAGATTTAATTATTGTTGGTTTTGTTTGATTTATAGATTTTATTATCGTTGGTTTTGTTTGATTTACAGATTTAAATATTGTTGTTTTTCTTTTATTTAGATATTTAAATATTGTTGTTTCTGTTCGATTTAGAGATTTAATTATTGTTGGTTTTGTTTGATTTAGAGATTTAATTATTGTTGGTTTTGTTTGATTTAGAGATTTAATTATTGTTGGTTTTGTTTGATTTAGAGATTTTATTATCGTTGGTTTTGTTTGATTTACAGATTTAAATATCGTTGTTTTTGTTTTATTTAGATATTTAAATATTGTTGTTTCTGTTCGATTTAGAGATTTAATTATTGTTGGTTTTGTTTGATTTAGAGATTTAATTATTGTTGGTTTTGTTCGATTTAGAGATTGTTGGTTTTGTTTGATTTAGAGATTTAAATATTGTCAGTTTTGTTTGATTTAGATAGTTAAATATCGTTGTTTTTGTTCGATTTAGAGATTTAAATATTGTTGGTTTTTTGATTATAGATTTAAATATCGTTAGTTTTGTTCGATTTAGAGATTTAAATATTGTTGGTTTTGTTTGATTTAGATATTTAATTATCGTTGTTTTTGTTCGATTTAGAGATTTAAATATCGTTAGTTTTGATTAAGAGATTTAAATATTGTTGTTTTTGTTTAATTTAGAGAGATTTAAATGTTGTTGTTTTTTTGTTTGTTTTTTTCGATTTTTAGAGATAAAAATATTGTTGGTTTTGTTCCATTAAGAGATTTAAATGTCGGCTGGTTTTATATAGAATTATCGATAAGTTTATACTGAATTTGTGTTAATGTCTTTTAGTGTTTTATAATGTCCCCAAAAGACTCTTGAGGTGTTATATAGTGAATAAAGTCTGTTTGTCTTCAGACGTCACTACAGTCGCGTAATGGCACGAGCTCTCCTAGAACGTTGCTGACTGGTGTGTGTGTGTGTGTGTGTGTGTGTTCAGCTGGGACGTCGGCGAGTGGTCGGAGTGCAGTAAGACGTGTGGTTTGGGTCTTCAGCATCGCCAGGTCTTGTGTCGTCAGGTGTACGCCAACCGCACGCTGAACACACACTCCAGCCGATGCCGCGCGGAGCGGCCCGAGACCAGCACCACCTGCCAGATGAAGATCTGCAGCGAGTGGCAGATCCGCTCCGACTGGAGTCCCGTGAGTGACAGCTGTCAATCACAGCCATCCTCCCCACTGATTGGCCACACACGTGAGGGGGGGCAGTGGGCGGAGCTGTGGACTCGTTTGGGTTTGATAACTGCTATAAAACACTAGTCACATCAAGTCAGCCTTATTTATACAGCGCTTCTTACAACAGAAAAAAGTGTGTGACAGCAGCTTTAGCGAGATCACAGGAGAATAATGCAGAGTGTGTGTCTAGATAGAAGACAATAGCGTCACAGTCCAGCTTAAGTCAGTTCACTGATGCTCATTTCTGCTGTAATAAACTTATTCATTTAGTTCATTTATATATATAGCGGCTCTGGAGTAACCCGTGATGTCATCGTCCAGCTCAGTTCAGCCTCAAATAATGCTGTCGATGAGGAGATCAATAATACTGATGGATATTACATCAAATTTCACCAAAGCGAAAAAAGGCCACAAAAACGGAAAGTCATTAGTTGGGTACAAGTAAAACTAGTAATAAAACTAGGCTAGCAGCAATCCACCTGTCACTCAAGTGGCCACACCCTTAATTATGCTCAATTTTAACGCTTAATTAATATAATAGAAATGGAAGAGTTATAAAAAATTCACCCCCTCACAGTCGTCATGAAGAGCAAAATTAGCAATATAGACCAAAACCACTTTTTGCACCAGACTGTAAACATGTTTTTTTCTGCTGTAAAGTTAGGCATTTTAACATGCGTGTCTATGGGAGTGAGTCTCTCCTGCAGCGCCTCTAGTGGCCAGTGAAGGAACTGCAGTTTAACTCACTCAGTGTTCAAGAGAGAGACAGGAAAGTTGTGCTTGGTTAGAAGCATCTGTGCATTAAGTGTGTGTGTGTGTGTGTTGTCAGTGTTCTGTGCCCTGCGGCGTGGGTCAGAGGTCACGTGAGGTGCACTGTGTCAGTAATGTTGGCGATATCGTGGCAGACGACGAGTGCAACATGAAACTGCGTCCCGGTGACGTGGAAAACTGTGACGCGGGTCCGTGTTCGAAGAGCTGGTTCTTCAGCGAGTGGAGCGCTCAGGTGAGTCACGCTACACTGCTTTCTGATAGCGCCGCACCATTAATCACAACTTACATGTAATCAGTCAGCTGATCGCGATTGTGAAACGGCAAAGGCTGTGATTATCAGTAATGTGCAGCGTGTCAGTGAAGCACAGCTCAGGAAACGCGGATCACTCTGAAAACACTATAAAGTGCGTTTGAACATGAAAAGCATTCTTGTCCAACAAAAGACGTCCCTTAATAACACGCTTTTACTGCAAACACACTTCATCAGGACAGCTGAGGAAAAACACACAGAATAAGGCAGTCGTGTGTTTATTACTCGTGTTTAAAGCGTTTCAATCTTCGGTTTATTCAGATACAGATAGTGTGATGCTCAGAGGAGTTTCTTGGAATTATGTGTGCTATCGTACTTCTGGTGGATGTATTTAGTAGGGCTGGGTATTGACACAAATTTCACAATTCGATTCGATTTTCGATTTACAAACTTGCAATTCGATTTTGATTCGATTCAATATTGATTAACTGGGATATCAGTTACAATAAATGGCAATTTTTCTCAAGGAAATCAAATCTCGTAACTAATGCTGTAAACTATGGGAGTCTAGTTGTAGCCTATAGGCTTCATTAGCCTAATATGAAGGTAATAATGAACTGTTTTGTAGCTTTACAAACACTTAAATTACACTTTTATTTATTTTTATAATAAGACGATTATATGAAATATAAACATTTAAATGGTGGCTGTCATAAAAACTTGCCAGATTTATCCAAATATGCATTAAATATTGAAGAACATTAAGATTATAATGCATATGTAATATGGTGTATATATTTAGCAAAATGCTCCTCTCTGGAGTTATATTTTTCTAACTGACTAACGAGTTTATGTGGGTTTTCTGAGGTAAATATGACGATGCATTGATTACAAGCTGTTTAACTGACGTCTTTCCACGGTTGAAACGCTGATTGTGAATCAATGTGACATGATACGGATTTCGATAAGTTGTACTCTATCTTTACCACACTTTCAGATGCTCATTCATGTTTATATTATTAAGCCGGACGAGAGATCAGCGCTGCTGCTTCTCCAGAGCGATCTCACGCCACAGCGACAAAACACTATTTATGTTTCTGAATTTCTAAAGAAAATGGACGTAATTTGAAATTTGAGACTTTGTTTCATATCAATAGTAACAAAGGACATTGCGATTTTTTGGATGCGCGCAGCCGCTATACAATGATCCATTCATTCAAACGAAACAGGATGACTAATCGATTCTTGAGATCTTGAGATAAAAATGAGAATCGATTAATATCGAGAAATCGATATTTATTACCCAGCCCTGGTATTTAGTGTGTGTGTGTGTGTGTGTGTGTGTGTGTGTGAGAGATACGCCCTCTGGTGTTCAGATGGAGCAACATTTACTACCGATCACTGACATGCGCAGTTTGAATAATAAAATAATCGCATGCTTTGCCAAATCGTGTGCAGATCCATTGCGATTAATCGTGCAGCGCTAGTTTCTGATGAGGTGTGTGTGTGTGTGTGTGTTCGGCAGTGCTCTGCGGACTGTGGCGTGGGTGTGCGGTCTCGCAGTGTTGTGTGTCTCAGCGATCACAGCAGCGCTCTGCCTCTGGAGGGCTGCGGGTCCGAGCGGCCGGTCCAGACTCAGTCCTGCGACAGCGGCCCCTGTGAGAGCCACACCGAGTGGGTCACCGGGCCCTGGACTCAGGTACGGCCCTCGGGAGAACCCTGTGCTGATCAGAACCCTGAGCTGTTGGTGTGTTCATGAGCGGTGTGTGTGTGTGTGTGTGTGTCAGTGCTCAGCGGAGTGTGGCGTGGGCAGTCAGCACAGGGCAGTGGTGTGTCTGATGAGCTCAGGCGAGGGTTTCTCGGTGATGCCGGCGTTCGAGTGTTCGTCTCTGGACCGACCGACCAGCCAGAAGAACTGCTTCGTCAAAACCTGCGCAGCAAAGTGGTTCCACACCGAGTGGAGCGAGGTGAGACACATACACACACACACACTGAGACACATCCACTGAGACACACACTCATTAGTTAAAGGAACACAAACTAAAGGAGCCATTTCCCACTGAAGTGCGGACGGGAGTGAACACACTATCTGAGAGTCATGTGACTGTGGTTCTCCTGCGTTTCAGTTTATTTGACATAAAAGTAGCAATACAACTTATTACGACTTGTTTGTCAAGGATAACACAATCAAGTTGCATTAACTTATTTCCAATGTGGTCCTTGATTTATTTATTTATTTATTTATTTTCTTACAAGACTTTTTGACAAACCATGCTCACACAAAAAATAACTATCACAACAAAAAATACACACATATATCCATATCTATTAAGCCATCTTATACTAAAACCAGCATTATCTGTTAACCTCAGTGTCCAATGGCAGCGTCTTCCACTCCTGCGCACCGGTATATCCACACGCCCTGTTAACGTCCAATGAGTCAAATCCATAACCCTGTCTAGTCTAGTGTCCGTGTCCTGCATTGACCCCAGAGGAATACGAGTTCACATATATGAATCTGTTGTTCTGTGTGTGATGTTTGCATGTGTCCAGTGCTCTAAGTCGTGTGAGTCCGGTTACCGAGTGCGAGAGGTGCGCTGTCTCTCTGACGATCACATGACCAGCAGTGACCTTTGTGAGCAAACACTGAAGCCACACGAGAGGGAAGAGTGTAACCCCGAGCCCTGCCTTCCTCTGATTGGTTAGTTCCTTTGTGAATAGATGAATATTAAGTGGCTTGTTCATATGTTACATTTACCCAAAATCAAAAGAAACACTATTTTGCATATAGAACATTTTTTTAATTAAATTGTTTATATATAACTGTATTTTGAAAAAAAAGAGTAATATATATATATATATATATATATATATATATAGATATATATATAGACATGTATAGATATAAATAGATATGTATAGATATTGGTCAATATATATATATATATATATATATGTGTGTTTTTAAATTAATACAATATATATATTATATATGTATATATAAACTGTATTTTGCTTGTAAATTTATTATAAATGAACTATTATGCATGTAAAATTTATATATATATATTATTATATTTTATTATGTATATTAACAGTTTTTACATCTAAAACATATATATGAAGAGTTCAGATGCAAAAGCCTCTAAATGCCATTTGAAATTTTCTTCTTTAATGATGATTTTTATCAAACTTGTATATTTAAGTTCAGTAATTTCACTTAAATAACAATTAATAGGTAATCTTCATTGCCATTTAAGTGAAATCACTGAACTTAAATATACAAGTTTGATAAAAAGGATCATTCTAGAAGAAAATTTCAAATGGCATTTAGAGGCTTTTGCATCTGAACTCTTCATATATAGATATATATATATATATATATAGATCAATATTATATATAATTATATATGTTTGTTTTTAAATAAATACATTTATACTCATTTTATATATAAAAACTGTATTTTCTATGTTGAATTTATGTATATATATATATATATATAATATTATATATTTTATACATTAATTGCATTTTGCATCTACATATTACAATATTATATATATATTTTTTAAATTAAAAAAATGTGTGTGTGTATATATATATATATATATATATATATATATGTGTGTGTGTGTGTGTGTGCGTGTATAAACTGTTTTGCATGTGGAAATTTAAAATAAATATGTAAATATAATAATTTAAAAAAAACAATATATTTTTTATGCCGTGAGCTGAACATGATGTGTTGAGTCCCCACAGTGTCTGTAATTTGTGTGTTCTGCAGATGAAAAGTGTCGTGATAAATACTTCAACTGTAACGTGGTGGTCCAGGCCCGGCTCTGCGTGTACGACTACTACCAGACGGCGTGTTGCGCGTCGTGCCGGCGCGCGGAGAACAACGGGCGTCGGTCATGAGCACACCGCCGTCTCACACACTCCCTGCCGGAGCGAGAGACACTGCACACACACACCGCACCGGAGAACGAGCCGAACCGCGTCTGTGGTTCTCCAGCTGAACCCGAACCGAGATCTGGACCTCGACTGATCTGGACTGGACCAGGTGCCGTGCATCAGTGTCACGAACTGAGAGAATACACGGAGTGTGTGTCACTCTATTAACAGCCTGTTCAGTTCAGTTCATTTCATTTCAATTCAGTTCTGTTCAGTTCTGTTCAGTTCATTTCACACTGCGTGGATTTAATCTGAATTCAGTTGAACTGCTGTGTGAACGTGTTCAGATCCGGTTCTCAGTTCAGATCTCACGTTCTCAAAGTTTTGATCAGACGTCCTCTCTGTAATGTTACTATAACGTTTGTTCAAAGTCTGGTGTTTAATAAGCTTCTCCAAACGTTAGCACGAACACTTTATCTGTACGTCGTTTATGTTGAATGTTCGTTTGAAATTTTTTAAATGTTGTTGCTTGTTTCAGAACGTTCAAGAGTAACATTTCAATGATGTTTGCAAAACATTCGAATAGCCAAGAAAAAAACGTTAGTGTTTAAAACCTGGATGTCAGAGAACAATAAACGTGTTAAAGTCAGTTCTCCTGTTAAAACTCATCTTAATCACCGAAATCACATTTAAATGTTTTTCCTTAAAAAAACGTTGTCATGCCTTAAAATATCTTGAATGTAACTCGACACCCTTGCCTCATTTAGTATGTGTGGTTCTATGAATATGCAAATGAGCCCCGCCTCCACTCAGAGATCCACTGGTTGACGATCACACGTTGATCTGATTGGTTACAAGGTGGTTTGTGACGTCAGAAACACCAGCGATTTCAAAACTGGATTTACACCACAGGAGGACTTTAATAACTGAAAAATAATGTATTTACAAATTACGACTCACAAATGTGTAAGCTAATTCACATTCACAAAGATTATATATTTTCAAACTGAAATTCACAAACTCATTTATTTTCACAAGATTAGATTCGTTCGAGGCCTTCCTTTAGCCAATCAGATGTGGGCTCCATCCAGCCAATCATCAGCTTTGAATCAAGTAAAATGTGCCTTGATTATTTTTCAGACACTTTCAGCTGTGAGCGGCATGATCACAGGCGTCGTATGATTTTATTGAACTAGCGTGTATTTATATTTTGAACACATTAATTTTTGTAGTTTTTACGCAGATTTGTTGACATGTTTATCGAGAACCGTTGAGCTGTATGTTTTTACTCGTTATAAAGATCATGATTAAAGTCTAAAGTTGAATTGTGTTCCCTGAGTCTGCAAATGAATCCGGGGGTTTTAAACTGGGCTTCTGGGAAAAGAGAGACTATAATATGATTATAATACAATTTATTTAATAAATATTTATTTCAACAAATACCGTAAGTTAATAAATCTGATTAAAATTAATAATTTTTTATGATAAATAAATAAATATATATTTTTAATTTCAGATTATTTTAATCAGATTTATTTATTATTTATTTAAATAATTGAATAAATATGTATTTAGATAAGTTAATACATCTGATTAAAATGAATACATGTGTAATGATAAATAAAAGAGAGTGTGTGTGTGTAAGTGTGTATGTAAATGATCATAATTTGCACACAGGATCGATTTCTCTGCTTAAGAGGCTCATAATTGTGCATGATAACATTTATATTTGTTGAACTGTTCCAGCCCTGAAGGCCTGAGACTCGTCCATGCAGAATAATGAGTCTTGTGACACACACACACTCTCTCTCTTACACACTTTCTCTCTCACACACACACACACTCTCTCTCTCTCTCTCTCTCTCTTACACACACACTCTCTCTCTCTCTCACACACACACACACACACACACCGGCAGCTCCATTAGCTCCTCCAGCATCAGTGATGGTGGGAGCGATGAGGACACACACACTCCTCCGCCGGGAGAAGCGCAGGGACGTCCTGCTGTACATCATCTCTGCCGTCTTCGTCGTTCTGCTCGTCTTCGCGGCGGCACGGCTCGTCTCCCGCGCGGGTGAGGGTGTCCAGCGCGCCGCTTCTGCCCGAGTCCGTCGAGACGTCGGTGAGTGAACACACACTCTCACAGCAGCTTCAGTACGAGTCAGATAACACACACACTCAGTACGGGTCAGGTAACTGTGTGAATGCTGGAAACTTTACATAAACTTCTCCAGTTCTTCTGATATTAATATAGATCACTGAATATTGTCTTTAAACCTTTTCAAATGATGTCCATGATTTGTGTGTGTGTGTGTGTGTGTTCACACAGCAAATGCCAAAACTATTCCCAAAGGCAAGGCAAGTTTATTTATATAGCACATTTTATACACAGTGGCAATTCAAAGTGCTTTACATGGAAGAAATTAAAATAATCAAAAGAAGTCAGAATAATTAAAACCATAATATAAAAATAATAATAAAAAAAAAATACAGTATCAAAAATAAAATGAAGTACAGTGACAGTCGGACGAACAAAGAAACGTTTCCTTTGTATAATTTAGTGATTCCTGTAATTCCCAGTGTGTGATATAAATAAACTGGCCTTTACTCGCCGTTCCCGTCACGGAAAACATCAACAAAAAAACGAGACGTACAGTTTTCCGGTCAGAAACGCACAGATTTGTTGTTGTTTTGACGTTTGAGCTGGTTTCTGTTGTCTATGACGTCCCTGAGATAAGGCCGTAAACCCAGGGGTCATGTTCACTCACGAGACAGCATTGATTCAACATGTGTGAACACAGGTGAGTGTGTCAGACTCAGACCGTTGCTGATGAGTGAGTGTGTGTGTGTGTGTGTGTTGCAGGGAATGCGAGCGAGTGCATCCCGCCGCAGTCCTCGGAGTTTCCTGAGGGATTCTTCACGCTTCAGGAGAGGAGAGACGGCGGGATCCTGATCCACTTCATGATCGTCTTCTACATGCTCCTGGCCGTGTCCATCGTGTGCGACGACTACTTCCTGCCGTCGCTGGAGGTCATCAGCGAGCGTAAGCGGCCCGAGGTCCAAACGGGCTTTAACCTGGAGCCCGAACCCGCACGATCATTTAAGCCGACCCGAACCCCAAATCAATTAAACAGAACCCAGGAATCATTAAAACTGAACCCAGGAATCATTGAAACTGACCCGAACCCGAAATCATTGAACTCGAACCCGACCCGAAATCATTTAACCTGAACCCGAAATCATTTCAACCAAACCCGAAATCATTGAACTCGAACCCGACTCGAACCTGAATTCATTTAAACCGAACCCAGAAATCATTGAACCTGACCCGAACCCGAAATCATTGAATTTGAACCCGACCCGAAATAATTTAACCTGAACCCGAAATCATTGAACTCGAACCCGACCCGAACCTGAAATCATTTAAACAGAACCCGACCCAAACCCAGAAATCATTGAACCCGAACCCGAAATCATTGAACCCGAACCCGAAATCATTTAACCTGAACCCGAAATTCATTTAACCCCAATCCGAAATCATTGAAACCAAACCGAAATCATTGAACCCAAACCCGAAATCATTTAAACAGAACCCGACCCAACCCAGAAATAATTTAACCCGAAATCATTGAACTCGAACCCGACTCGAAATCATTTAACCTGAACCCGAAATCATTGAACTCGAACCCGACCCGAACCCGAAATCATTTAACCTGAACCCGAAATTATTTAAACAGAACCCGACCCAAACCCAGAAATCATTTAACCTGAACCCGAAATCATTGAACCCGAACCCGAAATCATTGAACCCGAACCCGAAATCATTGAACCCGAAATCATTGAACCGCGAACCCGAAATCATTGAACCCGAACCCGAAATCATTGAACCCGAAAATCATTTAACCTGAACCCGAAATCATTTAACCCCAATCCGAAATCATTGAAACCCCAAACCGAAATCATTGAACCCCAACCCGAAATCATTTAAACAGAACCCGACCCAAACCCAGAAATAATTTAACCCGAAATCATTGAACTCGAACCCGACTCGAAATCATTTAACCTGAACCCGAAATCATTGAACTCGAACCCGACCCGAACCCGAAATCATTTAACCTGAACCCGAAATCATTTAAACAGAACCCGACCCAAACCCAGAAATAATTTAACCCGAAATCATTGAACTCGAACCCGAAATCATTGAACCCGACCCTGAAATCATTGAACCCGACCCTACCCGAACCATCCCGACCCGACCATTACAGTTATATCTAAGCCGAACCCAAAATCATTGAACCCGACCGTCCGCTGCGGTGACATCACGGGTCTGCTTGTGTTTCAGGACTCGGTCTTTCTCAAGATGTTGCTGGAGCCACGTTCATGGCAGCGGGAAGTTCGGCACCAGAACTCGTCACTGCGTTTCTGGGTAATCTTTCTTTTCATGCTCTTCTGCGGGAGATGTTTAATACAGGACAGAAATATCACAGTCCGGCTGGCACTCCTCACATCAGTCAAATATAACAGATTTCTTATTTTTTCAACGAAATAATGTGCCATATTTTAGTTTGATAATGTTCTTTTATTTAATATTTTGTATTTTTTGGTACTAAATTATATATACGCCGCATTTATAATCCATTTATTCACTTTTTGAAAATGTAACGTCCATGATTGTGTGTGTGGGTCGTGGTTTGCTATTGGCTGGTTGATCCATGCAGCCTCTTCCGTCTCTCTTGCTTCATGTTTTTAATGTTTAATAAATGTTTAAGATGACTGAACGCAGTGTGTGTGACTGTCCTCAGGTGTGTTTGTGACTAAAGGAGACATCGGCGTGAGCACCATCATGGGGTCGGCCGTGTACAACCTCCTGTGCATCTGTGCGGCGTGCGGCCTCCTGACCTCTGTGGTGTGTGACATCATCATTACCCAGACTGCACCACGGCGCCGGAGTCCACACAAACCGGAGCGGGCCGACACTTTACGGGCTTTCGCACCGCAGGAACGACGTTACTCTTTTAGAGGAACTCATTTGCTCCTCCTCCAGAGTCGCTCTAAACCAGCGCTATAGGAACTACAGTGACGGTAGTGTTCGCTGATTGGCCGAACACACGCGAAACACCAGCACACGCCATTATTAAAACAAACAGATTACAGCCTATATATTTACTCGAGATCGATGAGCCTTAATCTTTACACTCCAACGCAACTTTGAGTGGCCGAGAGAAACATGATGATGTATTTCGGCTCAGCAACACGATAAACACACGCCGTACGCTAATAACTGTTCATTACTGTCTACTTCCTGTATTCAGGACTGATAGACAGATCCTCCCCGCTGCGAAAGCCCCTGATGTTTGCTGTCGGTGTGTGTCAGTTGCCTCTGTATCTCACGTGTGTGTGTGTGTGTGTGTGCGCTGTGTTCAGACGGCTCGTCTCACGTGCTGGCCGTTATTCAGAGACTGTGTCGCATACGCCATCAGCGTCGCCGCCGTCATCGCCATCATCTCAGATAACAGAGTTTACTGGTGAGTCTGCGATGCTAACATTAATACGCTCTGAGAATGTTTTGCTAACGGTTCCATTAAAGGAGTCGTTCACTTCAGAATTGAATTGCCCTGATGGTTTACATCATCCGAGATGTCCATGTCTTTCTTTCTTCAGTCGAAAAGAAATGAAGGTTTTTGATGAAAACATTCCAGGATTTTCTCCATATAATGGACTTCAATGGGGACCAAACGGTTCAAGGTCCAAAAGACAGTTTCAGTGTAAACTGTTCAAAGGGCTTTAAACGATTCCAGACGATGAATAAGGGTCTTATCAAGCGAAACGATCACTTTTAAAAAAAATAAATAACAAAGTTTAAGTTTTATAAGCTCAAATGCTCGCCTTGCTCTGTTCTGTGACACGCGTTCGTGACTCTCCTGTTCATCAAAATTAACAAATATTTTCCTGAGTCAACTCGTTCATATCGCTCATTGAATGTACTGAAAGTGTCTTTTCGACCTTGAACCTTGGTTCCCATTGAAGTCCATTATATGGAGAAAATCCTGGAATGTTTTCATCAAAAACCTTCATTTCTTTTCGACTGAAGAAAGAAAGACATGGACATCTTGGATGACACGGGGGCGAGTAAATTATCAGCAAAAGTTTTTTTCAAAAGTGAACTACTCCCTTCAGGTATTAAAAAGTTATTTCTGAAAGTTCAACACATCAGTTTTCCTGAATGTTTCTCGGTTGGGGAACGTTCCACTTTATTGGGTGTCTCTGATCTGTCTAAACACATCTCGAAGTGCTGGAGCTATGGATGCCGTCAACGCAGAAAATCAAACACGATCCGAAGTTTTTAACGAAGGTTGTATTTATTTTGTAGCGTGTAGTTCGACGTCACATCTACGTCGTTAAGCTCTGTTTGAGTCAGTTTGAGTCTGCACGTCAGGAACGGAAATGCTAAAAAATCGGCAAAAATGGGCTTCACTTAATGGATGGCTCTGTCCACTTCTTATACTGTCTATGGCGGAAACCGTGGATATTGCGTCATTGACAGGCGACATTTTTTTCTGGGACGGCCACTTATTTAAAATTGGAAATTCTCTGAAATAAAAGAACTTTGGAGACTTTTGGGATATTGTAAGTACACAAGTGCAGGAAATATATCACACTGTGCAAGTGATTTCTGGATATTTTATTACAAAATTCTTAAATATTGGACCTTTAAATGTTCACCTTAAATTGGGGAAACTTGAACGCTTCTCTTCTCGGCAGAAGTGAACACGGTTTTTGGAAAAATGAATTTAAAAAGAGTTTATGTGCTAAAACACTATTTTCAAAAACATGTTTTACTCTAAAACTGAGAAAATCAAAGCCATAAATCGAAACATTTTAAACTTGATGGACACAACAATGTGAGCTCGTATTTATTTGTGAACTCATCGTGTAAAGACCCTAATGGTGCCGGAATGAACTGAATTAACGCAAAGATTCTGTAATCTTTCTGCCGTTTGCAACGCCACGGTCACGGGTTCGATCCCCTGGGAAAGCAAGAACTGCTAAGAATGTAAACATGTGCCTTGAAATGCAATGTGCTTTGGATAAAGGCGTCTGCCAAATGCATGAGTAAACGTGCGGTGTGTGTGTGTCGCAGGTATGACGGCGCGTGCCTCCTGCTGGTGTACGGTGTGTATGTGCTGGTGCTGTGCTTCGACCTGAGGATCAGCGAGTACGTGCTGCGGCGCTTCAGCCCGTGTTGTGTGTGTGTGAGCAAGAGCTCGGGCGAGGCCGAGGAGCAGCCGCTGGTGGGGTGGAGCGACGGCAGTCTGCGGGTTCACCGGCGCTCCCGAGCCGACAGCGGCATCTTCCAGGACGAGTCCGGATACTCCCAGCTCTCGCTCAGCCTGCACGGCCTCAACGAGATCGGAAAAGGTACGACCTCACACGCCGGCTGTCTGTTTATTATCATGTTGGGGACCACTCTTAAAAATTAAAGGGATAGTTCACTTTGAAATTCATTTCTGGTATGTTTTATCTTCCCTCAAGGGCATCCAAGATGTAGGTGTCTTTGTTTCCGCAGTATTTTCAATTTGGATAATTTTAGGTCAAACCGTTCTTGTCTGTTAGTCATATAATGCAGGTCTATGGTCACCACCTTAAAGAGCAGCACAGAGAAGTCCAGATTAAACATGATTTAATGACTCGTAAATGTAAGTACACATTGATGGCCTAAGACACGAAACGAGCGGTTTGAGTGAGAAAACCAACAGTATTAATATCGTTTTACCTCTTGTAACCTCAGCTACAAACTGCCCACACCCTCAGATCAGTTGGACGTGGCTGACGTGGTTACAAGAGGTAAAAACGATATAAGTACTGTTCGTTTTCTGACACAAACCGCTCGTTTCGTGTCTTAAGCCATCAGTGTGTACTTGCATTTACGAGTCATTAAATCATGTTTAATTTGGACTTCTCTGTGCTGCTCTTTGAGGTGGTGACCATAGACATGCAGCGATGCCATAAAAAACTAAATTGGCACCCCAAAGAACCTTCTTAAAAGAATCATTTGGTGCTTTTCGGTCATCTTTGATGGAAAAATTTGACATTTGTGAGTTTTTTACTTTTACTTTTACATCGGAATGGTACGAACCTTGGTAAAGCTTTTGGCACTTTTTGTGTGAACACACACACAAAAAATCATGGACATGATCTGAACAGGTTTATTGGTCCTGATAATAACAGTCACGCTTGTGCTCCTCGTGGTCAGAAAGTTTCCTCTAGTGGAAGTGTTTGGAACTGCAGTCGAACACACACTCACTGAACGCTCGTTTACTGAGATCAGCTCACGCGCGGAACACACACTTGTTTAGATTTATGGCTTGGATTGTTTTGCAGTTTTAGAGTAAAACATGTTTTTGAAAATATATTTCATATACAAATTGAAAATAGTATTTTTGCACATTTTTCATAACAATAAACTTAAAACTGTGTTCACTTGAGCAATAATCTTCCGAGTGTAGAGTTTGAGAAGAGATCAGACTCTAAAGCGTTCAAGATTTACCAGTTTAACATGGAAATGTAATTGTCAGGTCTATTCTCAAAAAGTGAATAAATGGATTATAAATACAGCGTAAATATAATTTAGTACCATAAAATCCACTAAAAATACTAAATATTAAATAAAAAATATTATCAAACTAAAATATAGTACGCTCGCACGTTTCTCTCTCAGAACAGAAGAGTGTGTTCTCGATGCCCGAACACGACCTGAAGCGGATCCTGTGGGTTCTGTCTCTGCCGGTCATCGTGTTGCTGTTCCTGACCGTTCCCGACTGCAGGAGACGCTTCTGGAAGAGATGGTACATAATCACGTTCCTGATGTCTGCCGTCTGGATCTCCGCCTTCACATACGTCCTGGTGTGGATGGTCACCATCGTGGGTAAGAGTGTGTTTGTGCGTGTGTGTGTTTGCGAATCATGATCAGCCAGATGAGCTACAGGATCTACAAGTTAAGTCAAATTTATTTGCGTAGAACTTTTCACAATACACACGTTTTCAAACCATCTTTACAGAAAGTCATAGAATTATCAATATATAATGAGATATAATGATGACACGAGTGATCCTCTGCATGTAGATATAGAGACAGTACTAGAACAATATCAGTGCAGCAGGGACTCAAAACTATTGAGAGATCAAGACCATTAAGAGATTTAAATATTGTCTGTTTTGTTCCATATTAGAGATTTAACCTAGATGTTATTGGTTTTGTTCAATTATAGATGTAAAAATTGTCGTTTTTGTTCCATTTATAGATTTAAATTTTTGTTCCATTTAGAGATTTAAATATTGTCGTTTTTGTTCGATTTAGAGATTTAAATCTTAGAGGTTTTGTTTAGAGATTTAAATATTATCGGTTTTGTTTGATTCAGAGATCTAAATATTGTCGGTTTTGTTTGATTTAGAGATTTAAATATTTTGTTTGATTTAGAGATTTAAATATTGTCGTTTTTGTTTGATTTAGAGATTTAAATATTGTCGGTTTTGTTTGATTTAGAGATTTAAATATTGTCGTTTTTTGTTTGATTCAAGAGATCTAAATATTGTCGGTTTTTGTTTGATTTAGAGATTTAAATATTGTCGTTTTTGTTTGATTTAGAGATTTAAATATTGTCGTTTTTGTTTGATTTAGAGATTTAAATATTATCGGTTTTGTTTGATTCAGAGATCTAAATATTGTCGGTTTTGTTTAATTTTAGAGATTTAAAATATTGTCGGTTTTTGTTTGATTTGGAGATTTAAATATTGTCGGTTTTGTTTGATTTAGAGATTTAAATATTATCGGTTTTGTTTTGATTCAGAGATCTAAATATTGTCGGTTTTGTTCCTATTAAGAGATTTAAATATTGTCGGTTTGTTTGATTTGAGATTAAAATATTGTCGGTTTTGTTTGATTTAGAGATTTAAATATTGTCGGTTTTGTTTGATTCAGAGATCTAAATATTGTCGGTTTTGTTTGATTTAGAGATTTAAATATTGTCGTTTTTGTTTGATTAGAGAGATTTAAATATTGTCGGTTTTGTTTGATTTAGAGATTTAAATATTGTCGGTTTTGTTTAGAGATTTAAATATTATCGGTTTTGTTCCATTTAGAGATTTAGTCGTTTTTGTTTACTTAAGAGATTTAAATGTTGTAGTTTTTGTTCAATTAAGACATTTAAATATTGTCATTTTTGTTCCATTAAGAGATTTAAATATTGGTTTTGTTCGATTATATATTTAATTAGTCGTTTTTGTTTAAGACATTTAAATATTATCATTTTTGTTCCATTTATAGATTTAAATATTGTTGTTTTCGTTCCATTCAGAGATTTAAATATTGTCAGTTTTGATCAATTAAGAGATTTTTGTCAGTTTTGTTCCATTTATAGATTTAAATATTGTCAGTTTTGTTGTGAAATATAGAGTATGGCTTTAATGTCCATTAGTAATGTGTCTGATCTCATCAGTCTCAGTTCTGATGTCTTGTTTCTCACGGATCCAGCTTGACTGCGTGTGCTCAGCCCCAGTCACTGCAGACGTTCAGGGTTTGAGCGGGTCACACACAGACGGGTCACGTACAAACGGGTCACACACAGACGGGTCACATGCTCCCTGAGTCCATTCCTGAAATGCCAGCGCTGTATCCTGAAGGATTATGATGCTGTCGGCAGAACCATGTGATGCGGCCGCATATAATAGGATTATTATCCTGCACACGGTCACACAGATTCCCATGAGCTTTAGAGCCGACACTGAAGAGCAGGTGCCGGAGAGAAAGAGCTGCGAGTTTGAACTTTTGAGCTCAGAGACGCCGGCACGCCGGTCACATGCTCAGCAGAACAACTATTTTTTGGTTGCAATTTATTTTAAGGTAGGATTAGGTTGAGGGTTAGTTGCATGTAATTATGTATAGTTTACTGTTATTACTATGGTAAGTACATGTAACAATGACACTGTAAAATAAAGTGTTAAAAAAATTCACTGTACATTTGGTAACACTTTATTTTACAGTGTCCTTGTTACATATGTTACATGTACTTACCATAGTAATAACAGTAAATTATGCATAATTTCATGCAACTAACCCTCCACCACATCCTAATCATTCCCTAAAGCTATAGTAATTACACGTAGTTGCTTAATATTACTCAGTACTTAAATATAATATTACACTGTAACAATGACACAATATACAGTATAATAAATCAATCTTTTGCTTTATATTTACACTACCAGTCAAAAGTTTCTGAAAGAGTCTCTTCTGCTCCCAAGTCTGCATGTGTTTGGAATAATATTACACAATTTTAGTGAATCTTTGGTCAGTGTAGCTGTTTTCTATGTGGATATACAGTAAAGTGTAATTAATTCCTGTGAATGTTCATCATCATTACTCCAGTCTTCAGTGTCACATGATCCTTCAGAAATCACTCTAATATGAGGATCTGATGATGAAGACACATTTATGATTATTATCAGCGTTGAAAACAGTTGTGCTGCTTCAGATTTTTTAGGTGTTGTTTAACACCCAGGATGCCAGGAAATGACATCACAAAGGACAATATTAAAACAGCAGATTGTTTGTTTCTGATCATTTGTGATTATGACAAAGTTGTCAAAATGTGAAACCCCAAGAAAACATAATAAAAAATATCATAATTTTTAACCTAAATTCAAGGTTTATTTTGAAAAAAAAAGAAGTATTTTGTTTAATACGTTGATATTTCATGAACATATATAGTAATGGTATAATGTGTAATAAAATCTGAAAATAACATTTAAACTGTCAAGAAACTTATGTAGAACCTAAAGGCTCTGGCGCTTCATATGTAGAACCTTATAGGGTTTCATCAGACACTTCATTTGTAGAACCTTAAAGGGTTCCGTCAGGCGCTTCATATGTAGAACCTTAAAGGGTTTCATCAGACACTTCATTTGTAGAACCTTAAAGGGTTCCGTCAAGCGCTTCATATGTAGAACCTTAAAGGGTTCCATCAGGCACTTCATATGTAGAACCTTAAAGAGTTCTGTCAGGCGCTTCATTTGTAGAACCTTAAAGGGTTCCGTCAGGCGCTTCATATGTAGAACCTTAAAGGGTTTCATCAGACACTTCATTTGTAGAACCTTAAAGGGTTCCGTCAGGCGCTTCATATGTAGAACCTTAAAGGGTTTCATCAGACACTTCATTTGTAGAACCTTAAAGGGTTCCATCAGGCACTTCATATGTAGAACCTTAAAGAGTTCTGTCAGGCGCTTCATATCTAGAACCTTAAAGGGTTTCATCAGGCGCTTCATATGTAGAACCTTAAAGGGTTTCATCATATATAGAATCTTAAAGGTTTCCGTCAGGCGCTTCATACGTAGAACCATAAAGGGTTCCATCATATGTAGAACTTTAAAGGGTTTTGTCAGTTGCTTCATACGTAGAACCTTAAAGGGTTCCTTCATGTAAATTATCTAAGAGTGTAATGTTCTGTTCTTTTGTTCAGGTGAGACGCTGGGAATCCCGGACACAGTCATGGGAATGACGCTCCTGGCAGCAGGAACCAGCATTCCCGACACCGTGGCCAGTGTGATGGTGGCTCGCGAAGGTAAAGAACCGGCCTTGAGCACACAAACATCACATGACCAGCTTATTTATCTATCCTTCATTTAACCAGATAAATCCCATGAGATATCACCACCAGCACACAGTTTCACAGAGAGAGAGCCATAACAAACAAGACTCGTACAAAAAAAGCCAAA